ATGTAGAAAGACAAACGATGGTATTGTATTGTTAAAATTACCACAACAATTTTCGTCATGTACACAAGTAGCACTAATCGAAGAAATAATCAAAGTGAAAAACGAGATCTTTTTGGCTGTCCAATTAGTGGAAACACGTGGCAAATTGAAATTGACATTAGACAGCCACGAAGTTTTATGTCCTTTCGTTTACGTTGGTAGTATTAATCCACTACAAGATCTGTTATTTCTTCCAGCTTCATGTATTATTGAAAAAATGTCCTCTTATTACGATAAAGCAAATCAATATTATTATTATCTTCAATATCCAAATTTGACAGGTATATATATATATATACATGTGTCTTCGATTGTATTCTTTAGAGTACACCAGTAGTCATCGTCACCATAAGACAAGGGGGAAACAGCGTACTTTAAGGGGTAAAGTACGGCAAAGTACCGAAGTAGTTTTAAGTATGTAGAAGTAGCTCCAAGTACACTGAAATGCGTTAAAGTAAGTCAAAGTATGTCGAATTCTCTCAGAGTACAGTAAACTACTTCAAAGTAACGCAAGGTACATCAAAGTCGTTCGAAGTTCCTCAAAGTAATGAAAAGTACACAAAGTAGTTTGAAGTTCGTCAAAGTAAGGCAAAGTTCATCAAAGTATTCTAAAGTATCGTGAAAGATCTGGAAGTACACGAAACAAAATTAAATTACAATGGAAAAATATGAACGATTGCTTTATCTACTTTTAAAAAAGAAGAAAAAAATCACTATTTAAAGACAAAAAGGGAAAGTAGTAGCAGGTAGTACAAGTAGCTGGTAGCAACATCAGCTGTTTGTTCCATGATACGAGATAAACGATCACTCGATAATTTCGTTATATTGTTTGATAACAGCCAACAGGCCGACTGTCTGTGAAGATATTTAATGTTCTCATTTATTTTTATTTTGAAATATGACTGTCTTAAAGCTGGATTAATATCATCAACTATCTTTATTCCATTAAAGTTGGACTTTGTTGAATTTAATATATCTTTATCATCACTACTATCGTCATTTTGAATGTCAAATACATTTTCATCATTAAGTTCATCATGTGCATAATTTATAATATTATCATCATCATTCTCCTCATCCAACCGAAACTCTTCAATGATGTCAGCTGAAACTTGCGAAGAGTAATTAATCATTCTTGAATTTTTGCTTAATACATCAAATATATATTTACTTAGCGGCCTGTCCAGCTAACAGTCAACCAGCATGATCACAGTTTAATACTGAAATTCTCGAACACAAAACAATCGATCGTATTCATCACTTTTTAGTCCGATTACGAAGCTCGTCGACCCGACGATTGAATTCCTCGAAAATCTTCTGTATTCACAGCTTAATTCTAGCTGTTTCATCAGCGCAAAAACAATCAGCTCAAACCAATGTTGCATCTGTTAATTGATTCTTCAAATTTTATGTATCTTTAGCGAGCATCGAAGCAAGCCACGTTATTATCAAATTACACAGCTAACAGAGAAAATGAACACACCCTCCTACTCTAGGCGCTGTATCGAACGCGAACATAGTTTCAAATCTCTACCTACAACCATCAACATAATTTAAAATGTTTTCTCCCAGGTAGTAACTACGCCAGCATCTGCCAAACGACTCTCTTAAAAATATAAGTCAAGCATCACACAAAACATCGTTCAAACACTTCAGAAGAACACACCACCGTTACTGTTTCAACTGTTAACTACTTCTTTCTGCAGCAGATCTTCGTCATATGATCACAATCGGGATCACAAGCAACTGCAGCCAGTTCAGGTAACTAAATTTCGTCTACTGTATGATAGTAAGATCCAAAACTGGCCAAATAGGCCACAGCGTATCGAAGCGCCGATGTTTCTCGTAACATACACGTGCTCGTTGGACGAGGGCCGATAAGAGTCAAAATTTCTGATGAGGGGGGCCTTAATGGAACCACATGGTTCCACAATCCAAGTTATAATAACTAAAACTTGAAACTTTTTTTTATATTTAAATTTAATTCTAATATATAAAAGCGTTTAAATTCTAATTGTAAATACTCGTTTGGGCCTTCTAACAACAGTATGAAAAGTTTGCTCATCCTTGGACATATTTCGTCAGAGTCGGATTATCTGAAACAGCTGGAATAAGGATGTAAACTAATGCATTTTCTATTCTACTTTAGCCCTGTTAACTCAAACACCAACTACCGCATCGTTTCCATTTTCAAAATTGACAAGTACGTGTCGTTTCGTAGTTCGTTTAAGTTTCCGAAAAAAGAGACCTTTTTCCTGAATTTGGCTGCATTGAGCGTTGATGTGACGGGGTTATGTTACTTATACCACAAGCAAGCGTTGTTTGGATGATAGTGAGGGTCTCCCAAAATAAGATGTATAATATAGTTCATTAACTGTTTTTTCTTTTTTATTAGCCGCTGTGTCGAAAGAGTCGACGATAGCTCCAGGACCGTCATTAGGTAGATTTGTTTTTGATGTAGTCTGACCGTTGACGAAGTGCGCTAAATCTTTTATTAGCCAATGATCAGTACTATTACTGACTCAAGATCCACGCAGACTCTCGCGGCAACAAGTTCTGCAA